CATAGCGCTTTACAAACTGTGTAATATGTAATATGTAATATGTAATATGTAATATGATCAGCTAATTGTTTATTAAATATAAATGTCTTAGAGACATTCTGCAGCACACAGTTCAATCCCAGCATTCACCATTCCAAGCTCAATGGATTCTGGGAACTAGTTAGCCCGTTCAGAAAAATCTCTGGCTTCCTATTGGTCAATGGAAGTTTATATTCTCAACCTCACTTTACATTTTGTAACAACAGTCCGAGAGATAAATAACTATAACTTAATTACATAGTTACATAGGCTGAAAAGAGACATGTCCATCAAGTTCAGCCTTCCTCACATTTGTTGTTTGCAGTTGATACAAAAGAAGGGAAAAAAACATTTTGAAGCACTTCCAATTTTGCAACAAACTAAGAAAATATAAATTCCCTCTTGACCACAAATGACAGTCAGATTAATCCTTGGATCAAGAAGCTATTATGCTACAGTTGAACAATTATATTCTTGAATATTCTGTTTTTGCAAGTATGCATCCACTTCTGTTTGAACATCTGTATGGACTCTGATAAAACCACTTCTTCAGGCAGAAAATTCCACATCCTTGTTGTTCTTATGGTAAAAAAAAACTTTCCTTTGTCTTAGACAAAATCTTTTTTCTTCTAGTCTGTGACACAATTATTTCTGAATTTAAAGGAATTCAAAGCTATTAAATCTCACAGGATAATTATTGACACAGCTATATTTTGTGAAAGTGAACACAATATAAATATGTTGAGAGTATTCTTTAATATCACAGGTTATTTGGGATTTGAAATCTGCTGATCTAGATTTTCCGCCTCACTCAGTTTATCTAGAAAATCAAACATACATATACAGTTGAAAGATACGTGGTTGCGATGGAAAGGGTTAAGGTGTATTCTGCCCTTATAATTCCTGGGTGGGGGGTCATCGTGGGACATTTTACCAATTTCATGGTGTTAAGCCTCTCTTTCTATCTTTGACAGTAATTTCCTTTGCAATAATTGGGAAGCTGGACGCTATGTCAGGTAAGTGAGAAAACATAAAATTATCACATTGTATTTTACATTTATTGAGAGTTTAGCACACAGTAACTTCATTAGATAAAGACACTAAGATAATGACTGATAATTCTGAATGGGGTCCGTAGAGGGAATAAGTGAAATTAGGGACATATGACTGGCTGATGAATGGAGGGTCCCTTCAACTTTATGTTACATCCACATATCCACTGCATTTTCTTATATGCAGTTAATCATTGTTGAGCTTCCCAGTCTAGTTACAGGCTGCTCTGTTCGGTTTAGCTAAATATTGTCTAATTATTGTGTCAGATTGAATGACCAGCAAATGTCCTTTATTAAATACAAATAACCCTAACTATAAAGCCTGTCAATCACTGTTTAGTTTCACATTATCGTGTTTAAATAAGAGAAGAAGGTTTTGATGGCAAATGTCATTTGATTATTTAGTTAGTTTGTTTTGTTTATTTCTCACAGTCACCCTTTGCTCTGTTAATATAATAAATATTAGGTAGAAATGCAGTCATTGTGGGGTAACAATCTACAAATGGCTCAATCAGCAGTAAAGTCCCAATAGTCTCTATAACGATTGTCCTGAATTACTTTAGTTGTAACTTTATCAGTCGATCTCAGTGAGATTTATAATCTGTCTCATCTTAAATGCTGCTGTACCCCTAATCAACACGGAACGTCCTCTCACCCTAAATGTGATCACTGCGGTTAGATGATACCATAACACGGGGTTCCTTAATCCTGACACTATCTGTGGGTACAGCTAGATACCCTTTAATACTAAACATGGATTACTTAACTGTCACAATGGGATAATTAACCCCTATTTTCAGTAGATGGTATGTCGTACAAAGTTGATAAAATGACAGTCTCATGAATGGCGCTGTGATGACACGACACTCTTATAAACACAGAGAATCATTAGCACTGCTATAATAACTCTCAGCACGTTATAAGACCCATATTAATCTCACTATGTATAAAAATATACTGAAATAAAATAACAAAGATTTCCTCACTCATTATTACAAAAACAGAAAATCTAATGTAATCAGCAGGCACCACAAACAGCCAGACTGCTCAGAGAGATGTGAGTGTCCTGTCCTCCACAGGGCAGAGATGGGCGAGGGTACAATGTGACAAACTCATCAATTGATTATCTATAGAATTGTAATCAGGTTCTTCTTCATCTCTTGTCTCTGGTTATATTCTGTACGTCTGTTACTTGTTATCTAATATTCCCATTCAGTTATTGTAACTTGCTGCAGAATGTGTTAACACCTTATAAATGCCACTATTACAATGTATAAATCAAGAGATTTGATAGGACTTTATCAGAGCCATCATTGACTGAGCATTGAGATAAACCCACCTCTAATGGTGTCATCATTCTTCACTAGTTCTCTCCAACTACACCAGTTTCTCTAACAATGGGAATGAAGGGGATTCTGTCCTTATATTAATGTATCATCGTTAGAATAAATCCCGTATTTCATAGATGTTTTGATATTTCTGGTGTAGTTGAAATGTTACAGTTATTGTGTAGGAGAGTTACAGTAAGTGCACTCGGTAGGTAGGTAGTGTTATATATAGAGGTAATACAGGCATGGGGACAATAATATCCTGACCTGTAAACATTGAATCCATTGTGTCAGACATTACGCTCATTATATTTCATGTTATTTAATTCAGAGATTTCTAACTAATATTCTATTTCATTCCTTGCAGTATGTCCTCCTGGCATGGTTATAGGATGCAATAGTCCCTGTGATTCCTGTCAATCTCTAAGAGGTGACATGGTATGCAGCATGATTTGTGCCAATCAATGTAGGTGCCTACCAAATACTTACAGACAAGACAATACCTGCGTTCCTGCCTCCCAGTGCCGCGTTGACTGCTTTCCAAACTCGCACTTTGACCATTGTCCAGGCTTCCAGAAAGTATACTGTGAAAACCTGAAGCATGAGCGAGTGCCAAATGACAAGTGCTACCCTCGTTGTGTCTGCAATGCGGGATACGTCTTATCAGAAGAGCAATGTGTGAAAATTAGTGAATGTCCAAAGAAAGGAAAATAACACTAAATTATGAAAGCTACTCAATAAAGAGAAACTATTGACAAAACTACCTTTGAGTCATTTTTATTAGATGTTTGTAGTGTCAGTCTTTAAATACCATGTGTGTGTTTAATCTCTTAGGGATTTTGATAAATGTTTATAGAAAACGAGACTCACATTTGTCAGGGCTAGCATCAAGGGAACTAACTCCGAGCCCAGAGCTTTTTGCTATTACTTGGACCATGTCTATTAAATCCAAACTAACTGAAGAAAATGCGCATTTATAAAGATTTAAAGATTACAGAGTAACACATTATCCAAAATAATAAAAATAATTGCAAAAGAATGTGATTTATTTACTAGAAAGGTTATCTAACCAGAGAGAAGACAGTACATCAGGGTCAAAATCAATAAAGATTAATGCAACTATAGATAACTCTGGCTAAAAATATGAATTAGAAAACCTAAAGAAGATAAGCAGTGACTGATTTAAAGCGGCACTGTCATGCCGAATCTCGTTTTTTTTTTAACCCCTCCTCCCGCCTCCACTACACCCAATTGACCCACTAGTCACCCCTAAATGCCCCTAAGCCCCCCACATTACCTATTTTTTAATCCTTATTTTCTGCCCCGATCTTGATTCAGGGCGCCGCCATCTTTGTGTGGGTAGGTGAAGTCCCTGTGGGACACGTCATCAGCCCACACTAGGCAGACACTGAGATTCCCGCACATGCCCAGTGAAACACCTGGACATGCGAACGGGAATTTCATCTATTCATTCATCAGACAGACGAATGAATGAATAGAAAGATCAGCCGAACAAACAAACACAATGTATCAGTGTATGTTTGTTCATGCAGTTTATTACAGGGAGGGAGCTACCGGCATGCAGCTCCCTCCTTGTAATATGTAAACATAGAAAAGTCAGGGAGCAGTGCTCCCCACCACTTCATAAACCCCCCAGTACCCCCTCTCACTCTATGGGGGTCAATATGACCCCCATAATAGCACAAGGGAGATTAAAATCTCCCAAATGCCCCTACTCGCTATACCGCGAGTAGGGGCATGTCTACTAAACAGTGAGCAGCCTATGGCTGCTCACTGTACAATAAGGGAGGGCGGACCTATTGTCCTCCCCCTCTCCCCCACCCTGAGCGGCGGGTGGGGGCCATGAAGATAATGAGGGGGGGGGGACCTACTGTCCTCCCCCCCGGCCCCCACCCCTGAGCGGTGGGTGGGGGCCTTAAAAAACAAATAGGGGAGGAACTTCCTTCCCCCCCCCGGCCACCTCCCTGAGCGGTGGGTGGGGGCCTTAAAAAACAATAAGGGTGGGGGACCTACTGCCCTCCCCCCCGGCCGACACCCCTGAGCGGTGGGTGGGAGACTAATCGCCTAATGAGGGGGACCTACTGCCCTCCCCCCTCATAACCCCACCCCTGGCCGGTGGGTGCAGGGGCCCCTAAATGGCTGCGATGGTGACCAGGGGTCCCAAGCCCCTAGTCACCCCCACCCAAAAAAAAACTATCCCCTACCTACCCCCTCACCCTAAAAATAGTGAGGGGGGAATAAATAACTAACCTGTAAAAAAAACATTAAACTTACCATTTGACGTCTTCTTTTTTCTAAAATCTTCTTTCTTCAGCCCCCAAAAAGGCCAAATAAAAATCCATTACACCCGTCGCACTTTAAAAAAAAAAAATAAATAAAAAAAAAAAAATAATCCATGTTCGCCCTTCGAGGGCACGCCACATACTGAGCTCCGCAGGGCGGGTCAAGGCTTATAAAGCCTTGCCCCGCCCTGCAATTAGGCTTAGAACACTCTAATTGGTGGGTTTAAGCCAATCAGAGTGCTCTGAGTCATTTTACACAGCGTGGGAAAATTCAAAAGAACTTTCCCACGCTGTGTAAATTGACACAGAGCACTCTGATTGGGTGGGGTAGGTAGGGGATAGTTTTTTTTGGGTGGGGGGTTGGTGACTAGTGGCTTGGGACCCCTAGTCACCTTGATTGGGGGGGGGTGTTTCATTTAGGGCCCCCACCCACAGCTCAGGGGTGGGGGCCGGGGGGGGGAGGACAGTAGGTCCCCCCCCCTTATTGTTTTATTAGGGCCCCCACCCACCGCGCAGGGGTGGGGGCCAGGGGGGAAGGACAGTAGGTCCCCCCCTATTGTTTTATTAGGGCCCCCACCCACCGCTCAGGGGTGGGGGCCGGGGGGGAGGACAGTAGGTCCCCCCCCCTTATTGTTTTACTGGGGCCCCCACCCACCGCGCAGGGGTGGGGGCCAGGGGGGGGGCCAGTAGGTTCCCCCCCATCTTTATTTAGGGCCCCCACGGGCATTGGGGGTGGGGGGGTTATTAGTTTTTTTATTTTTTTATTTTTTACAGTGAGCAGCTATAAGCTGCTCACTGCTTACTACACATGCCCCTACTCGCGATATAGCGAGTAGGGGCATATTATTTACTAATACTAAGTAATCTTTACTTAGTATTAGTAAATTTGGCTGAAAGACCAATTTAGGTCTTTCAGCTTTTTAGTAGATAGCTCCCTGATGCCGTAGGAGATTCTGTTTCCTCTACCCAGTCTGACAGGAAGTAGTTTGGCACTCCCTGCGTGTACTTCTAGTCAGACAGAAGTAGGGATCGACCAATATTGGTTTTTTAGAGCCGATACCGATAATCTGTAAACATTGAGGCCGATAGCTGATAACTTGCCGATATTCTGTACATTTACCATTTTGAAAAAAATAAACTATTTCTAAAGGTAAATGCACAAAATATGCATGCCAAATGTAGTGGATGCAGTGTGTTTAGACAGGGGAGCTGTGTGTGTTTGTGTAGTGTGTATATAATGAATGCAGGGTGTGTTTGTGTAGTGTGTATAGTGAATGCAGTGAGTGTTTGTGAAGTGTGTATAGTAAATGCAGGGTGTGTTTGTGTAGTGTGTATAGTGAGTGTGTAGTGTGTATAGTGAATGCGGTGAGTGTTTGTATAGTGAATGCAGTGAGAGTTTGTGTAGTGTTCATATAGTGAGTGTTTGTGTAGTGTGCGTAAAGTGAATGCAGTGAGTGTTTGTGTAGTGTGCGTAAAGTGAATGCAGTGTGTGTGTATAGTGAATGCAGTGTTTGTGTAGTGTGTGTATATAATGCAGAGTGTGTAGATAATGTAGTGTCTGTATATAATGCAGTGTGTGTGTTTGTGTAGTGTGTGTGTATATAATGAATGCAGAGTGTGTGTGTGTATATAATGAATGCAAAGTGTGCGTGTGTGTAATGAATGCAGAGTGTGTGTATATAATGAATGTAGTGTGTATATAATGAATGCAGTGTGTGTGTACATATATAATGCAGAGTGTGTGTCGTGTGTGTGTTTGTATAGTGTGTGTGTTTGTGAAGGGATGTAATTTGTGTAAAATGGGCGGGCATTTTTTATTTTAAAGGAACACTATAATCACCTAAATTACTTTAGCTAAATAAAGCAGTTTTAGTGTATAGATCATTCCCCTGCAATTTCACTGCTCAATTCACTGTCATTTAGGAGTTAAATCACTTTGTTTCTGTTTATGCAGCCCTAGCCACACCTCCCCTGGCTATGATTGACAGAGGCTGCATGAAAAAAAAAACTGGTTTCACTTTCAAACAGAACTAATTGACCTTAAATAATTGTATCTCAATCTCTAAATTGAACTTTAACTCCTTCAGGACGGAGTCAATAGTACACGTTCTGATCAAAACAAAACGTAAACAAAAACTGGAATTTGCGCTATATGTCTGTTCACCTGTAATTCACCTCTGTCACATTAAGTGCACCCACACTTATTATATATCATTTTGTTCAGGAGAAACAGGGCTTTAATTTATCATTAACTATTCATATGTGGAACATCATTTATTATGAATAAAATTTAAACATTTTTTAGAAAATAAGATTTTATTTTTTTAAAAATTTGTATTTCCGTCTGACATTTTAGCTGTTAATGTCAAAATACTGTTAGGTATTACTGCAAAAAAAAATGCCCATATTTGTAATCAGCGATGTCTCACGAGTACAACAGTACCACCCATTAACAGGTTTTATGGTGTTTTGGAAAGTTACAGGGTCAAATATAGAACGTTCCATTTTCAAATTGAGATTTGCCAGATTAGTAATGTTACCTTTGAGACGGTGTGGTAGCTCAGGAATGAGAATTACCCCCATAATGGCATACCATTTGAAAAAGTAGACAACCCAAGGTATTGAAATGGGGTATGTTTAGTCTTTTTTAGTAGCCACTTAGTCACAAACACTGGCCAAAGTTAGCGTTCATATTTGTTTTTGTGTGAAAAAAGCAAAAAACTAATATTTGGCCAGTGTTTGTGACTAAGTGGCTACTAAGAAAGACTGGACATACCCCACTTGCAATACCTTGGGTTGTCTACTTTTGCAAATGGTATGTCATCATGGGGGTAATTCTCATTCCTGGGCTACCATACGCTCTCAAAGGCAACATAACCAATCTGGCAAATTTCAATGTCAAAAAAATGAAATGCAAGCCTTATATGTGACTCTCTAACTTTCCAAAACACAATAAAACCTGTACATGGGGGGTACTGTTATTCTCGGGAGACTTCACTTAACACAAATATTAGTGTTTTAAAACAGTAAAACATATTACAACAATAATATAGTCCATAAATGTGCCATTCGTTTGTAAAAAATGCAAAAAACTTCACTTTTACTTAAAATATCATCGTTGTAATACAATTTACCAGTTTTAAACACTAATATTTGAGTTCAGCGAAGTCTCCCAAGTAAAACAGTACCCCCTATGTACAGGTTTTATGGAGTCTTGAAGAGTTACAGGGTCAAATATAGTGCTTGCGAATTAAATTCTCTGCACTTTCTCCCTGTGTTGTCAGGCATGTCAATCATATTTTAATGAATTAAATCACATAATTATGTTAAAAGATTACTTAAATATACACGTAGAATTTTAATATATATGCATTTATAGGTATTTAAATTCTACGTGTATACTAATGTAATCTTTTATGTAATTATATGTATTTATCTATATATAT